GATTACAAATCAAGATTTCAGAAATAAATTATAGAGCTTGGTCCATACGCCACAGGTGTTCGATATGCCCTTCAGCAAGAGCAAGACTCTGCCGCAACTAATGTTAAAAGTACTTGATTCTGTCATCAAAATAGTTTATTATGTATGTCAAATCTGAAGCTCTGAACACTCGTTTATTCAAAGAACTCAACAAGCAAATTAATTCAGATCACGTGGTTCTTCTTTTCTACACTGTTGTGCATTGGTTGTCAACCGTGCTTTTGAAATGAAGGAAGAAATCAAAATGTTCTTGGAAGTTCAAGGGAAAAATGATTTCATTACTGTGGAAGGTTGACTTAAGCGACTCGCTTGTTCGATAAATGTTTGTGCATCGAAATTCGCTGGACTTGAAACTACGTGGCCAGTAAACTTTCTTTTAAATACTTTATTAATAAGATTTTTAGCCGATGGCTAGATCATCTCAGAGGGCTAGCAAACTTATCTAATTCACTTGCAAGAAGATCTTCAAGCATTCAAGCAAAACTGGCCCTGATAGATTAGTATTGGAAATGTTGCCATGTTCAATAGACTCTGAAGTATGACTGACAAAAGAGCGAACGAGCTTAATTCGCATATTTAAACAGAAATTATTGCTCATTTTCACCCACTGGATTATCAACGTGAGCTGTGTTTCCCTGAGCTGATACAGGAAGATGCTGATGTAGTCCGCAATCCGTTTTCTTCCTCAATGGATGTGGAAGTCTTGATGAAACACAGGATGAATATTTGGACCTGAGAAATGATTCCTCACCTAGTGATTTGTTCCGTGAAAAATATTTGAACAAGTGGTTCTGGTGTGCCATGTCGTATCCCAAAGTCTCCTAGCAGACATTGAAGATCCTTGTCCCATTTGCGTCTTCGTACGGATTTTCAACTCTTCTCTACCAGTGGCGTCGCGTAACCTCACTTTTTACCTGTGCACCAACTTTCAAAAACAGATTTAATGCCTGATTAATACTCGAATCGGTTGAAAAATACACTTAATCTTCTAGTTAACTCGATAACTATCCATTACAAGCAATATTTTGATAATTGTTTATGTTTTGAGAGTTGGTGCACAGGTAGATTGAGGTTAAGGCAACGCCACTGTTCTCTACATTAAAACCATGACAAGAAACAGATTGAACGTTGGCGGAGATATGAGATTGGCATGATCACAAATGCAGCATCGTAACTAGATTTGAGATCTACAACAATCGCACTGCACGAGTTATTGGCTGTTGTTAACATAGTATTTTGAAATAAAACGAATAACCAACAGATCAAATGAATGGTTTTATTCATTTCAGCGTAATTTATACAAGGTACTTTTCAGGGGGCCGCGGAACACCCAATTGTTCACAAAGGGAAGGGGGTCGCGGAGCTGAAAAGGTTGGGAGCCACTGGCATATAGAGAGAGTAGAAAGTGAGCAAAGGTCGATTATGAGGAAGGCACGAATCGGGTTGATCATCTCCTTTACCAAACTCCCCTGTTGGGTATCTCCCCCTCAAATCGGCAATCATCTCTTTTGCCAGTGGTGGCGGGGGAGAAAACCCCTCACCAGTGCTGCAAAATCTCACTCATTTGAGCTAACAATCATCGTCAAGGCTAACCATGTCAATTGTCAGTGACAATGATGTGCAGATTTTTTTTATTAGCTACATTTGAAACGAAATTAAATTACTTGAGCAAAACAATTACATGGGGCCGCTAAAGTGCACAAGCATCTACGTCCTGAACTGCTTGGATAACAATAATGTGACTCAGAATGCACGAAATTACACTTTTTTTTTCAGGTGAATTTTTGTCATTGACGAGAAAATGAATGAAATTTTGACGAAGGTTTTTTTGAGGATCAACTCTATCAGTGACTATGTGAAAAACAATTTTGGTAATATCGCATGAAAGTCTGTCAATGACAATGACAAATCTCTGTCCCTCACCATCCCACCCCAACAGCGGAGTTTGGTAAAAAAGATGATTAACCCGATTCGTGCCTTTCTCAAAATTTACCTTTGCTCGCTTTCTACTCTCTATATACAATTTTTACACTGCCGTACTCTAACGGAACTATCAGCTCTATACTTTCATCTCCTCATCTATCGTATAAAAAGAACACTTTAGGTCTGATATCTGACGTTAGGCATCTCCAACTATGCCATCGTTAACTCCACGCATGGAGTAATACAAACGCGATTAGTTAAAGTATTAAATTAATGTTATTTGGATTTTTTTATAAAATGGAGCATCAATAATAATCTCGTAGTCCAACGTCAATAATGCGTTTGTGTTTTGCACACAGCCCCAATCCAATCCTTCGAATTTTGGACACATTTTAAAGAACCTGGAAAATATCCACGAAGACATGTCAATATTTGGAAATTAGAAAAAGGCCGTTGTTTACAAAAATCTTGTATTTAGAAAATACAATAATAATTTTCAAAATTTCAATATTAAAGGACCTCCTATAAAGGATTAAACATCATCAATATTGTGAGAAAGGTAATTATTTTTGGATCCTACAGAACCGTGGGGGCACCATATGCGAAGCGGTTCCTAAATGAACGCACTCAATAAGGTTCGACCATTTTCAATCATTATTTTTGAAATGTTAGGGGGAGGAGGGGCATAGTGAGCATCCCGCAGTTTTGCACTGGATCTCTAGCTGCATGAAACAAATCAACTGGTAGTAGGTTCAATATCATTATGATCTTGATCCTACCACCAATAAATTTGTTCCGAACGGCCGGAAGTCCAAGCTGGTGCACGGGATGCTCACTATGCCCCTCTTACCCCTACTTCTGAAAATATTAGTTCCAGTGGATGATGGTGTAACAGTTTTTTTTTTAAATATCTAGTCAAAATCGAGATGCGATAAAAAATAGACGAATGCGTCATCATTAGAAACGCGTCAAATATGGTGCTGGCACGGTAATCAATGTTAGGTTTCTGAAACTTTTTATCCCTGACTCGACATGATGTGCAAAATCCGCTGCTAGGAGCAATTATCACTCCTATTGAATTGCCGTGGTCTCCCGTCGAAAAAGGTTCTGTTTTGCTCAGTCACCGAACGCATGTTAATTGAATAGGTACAATGCTTGCAAAACCATGTGCCACGAGCGTCTTATCATTTTTACAAATCATGTCTCAAACAAATTGATTACTTTTGGAAGACAAGGGCATATGTGATAGCAGAGTATTCGATTTGTTGTTTTTCTGATTCAAAACTCAGACTGAACTGTCTTTTTTCGATAATGTCTAACTGCTAACAGGGTTGGTTTCTGCCGTTGAGCTTACAATTAATGTGTTCCGAAAAAAGGTTTATTTCTATAAGACGACATTATTGGCGATAGATAAGAGTATTCATACTAAAACCATCATAGTCTCTAAAGGTAGAAGTGGCTTAATTATTTAAAAACTAAAAAAGTAGGTCTAAGAGACGCAATAAAAACGCAAAATTAGCCTACAGTAGAATGGCTTTAAAAAACTCAAAAATTCAGTCTTAAATGTTTAAATTCCCATAACTATCTATAAATGCCAAAATGGTTTCAAGGTGTTTTTTAGATTTCTAGTTTATAGAAAAATATAATCATCAGATTTATTTATTTATTATTTGAGGCTTAAACAAATTGCTATTTCAAAGTTCCCAGACATTAAAAAAATCAAGACTCTGGTCATAGAAAACGAACAAACAAATAATGATATAGCTTTAGACACTTTCCTAGATTCTGAGTTAACCATTATGGAAGTTCATAGAAACATGTTAGATAAAAAAAAACAAGGTTTTCGAACTTGAAATATTTTTTCGAGTTATGTGACTCTAGAACAAATCCCGTTCGTTATTTGACAATTTAAATGTATGTTAAGGCAATGGATTTGTGGCCTCAGTTAGTCAGCAAAGGCACGGTATTACCATGCCGAAGCCGATTCAATTCACAGTCCGGTCCAGCACATCTTTCGGATTAGAAATGTCCTCGACTTCCCTGGACATAGAGTATAAGTAGAGCTTGCCAACCAATATACAAATTCATTCATTTGGGCCCTAAATTGTAAATAAACCAAGTAGGGACCCTGAAAAACCCTTTTGATTTTTCTAAAACCATTGGAGAAATATATCGAACATCTAATACCGAAGTCACCCTGTAGGTCTTTACATACAGGCTTAGAAAGCTGTCCATTAACAACTGTGGAAGTGCTCAAAGGACACTAAGTTGAGGACTGAAGTAAAATCCCATTGGAGACGTAATAAAGCTAAAACGCAGACAATACTCAATTCTCTATAGTCATGGGAAGTTAAGAAGCTTTGCAATCCGAAAATTTCCTGGACCGAATCGAGAATCGAAACCGCTGCCTTCAATCAGTCTTGCTTTAAATCTTTCTTGTCTGACTGGAGACTGAGCTAAGCGATCTATATCTATATATACTGCCACTATTAGCATAACAGTCCTATGTCCTGTGGATTTCCTATCTACATGGGACTGTTATGCGAATAGCGGCAGTATACCAGTAAATCAATTTCAATCATAATTTTGCAATGTAAACGTTACCTATGTTGGAGATTTGAAATTTGGTTAATTTTTCCCAGCGATGGAGAGAGTTAGCTGGTCGCACCACAAAGCAGAACCAGAAAGCTTGAAAGAGGAAATACCTGTAAATTTATTGTACACACATCAATGGTGGGCAATGTATAGATACATCTAGCTGTGCCAGGTTCAGAGTGAACAAGTTAACTTGCTGTACATCTCAAATATCGATTTTTCCATTCTCTGACTAAAAGGCTGAACTTAACCATTCTGTCCAACGTCACATATATACGCGAGAAAAAAAAAAGTGTTGACCGTCTTCTATTTCGAAAACTAATTAAAAAATTTCCGAGAATTTTTTTAAACCGAAAATAGGCATAGGAAACGTTTGCTTTCATTTTCGGCGCATAGGGGGGCCTGTGCGGAAAAGTCAGTGAAAAAGAAAAACGGATTCATACTTCGAAGGAAATTTTTGGCGCTTCACAATCGGCACGGTAGTACTCGATGTTGATGGTAATGAGGCCTTGGTTGAAGAAGCGGATCGTCGTAATGATTGCCCCGGGGGCATTCAGGATGCACAGATAGCCATCGTCTGTCAGCATGTCGTAGGTAATCTTCAGCCCGGAAATGAACTTTTCCAAGTGCTCCTTGCACAACTTGACCACGTCTTTGCGGGACAGTTCATCGTTGATGCGAGTCGGGTCAAGCGAGAAATCCAAAAGCACTGAGTTGGCCGACATTTTCGGGGAACACAAATCCGTAACGCGAATCACAGACGGTAGATTTTCACTAACAAAAAAAAGTTCACTTTCACCAATGCACGAAAATCGTGAACACGAGATACACGGACTTCACAACGCGGGCGATTAGGAAGGAATGAAAAAGAGAGCAGACGACCCGGCAAAATTTTCCAGAACCTTGCGCAGATGCAAAACACATGTGACAAAAAAGAGAAACGTCAAAACGCACACTCACAACAGCAAACCGGCAGTGCATGCAAACAAAAATGAATGTTTTGAGCGAGGTGTGATTACGTGAAGATTTGAACCGTTTCGCTTGTGGTTTGTGTCTCTGATAAATAAGGTAGAGGTACGTATCCATGGCCTATTCTATTATCTATTACAGGCAAACAGATTTTTCCAACATTTCACAATTAATCACTTCATTCGAGCCAGCCCAGTGGTAGGTGCATAGGCAACATGTTATACCGTGACACCGTCGAACTACTGTCAAACGCTGCTGTTGGTATAGGCCTTGTCACTGGCCTGATTTGAGCAGTTCAAAACTTCGTTTGCTATCAGTCGAACTTCGAACTAAAATAATATTTCTATCGCTCAGCATCTATCTGCGATGAGTACTGATGAATGTGGGCGTCTTAGCGAAATACCTGCCACTGATAAAATTTCAAAGATTGTTTTTATGTGTCCCACACATGAATTTTTGCAATGTGATCAACAAATGATATTTATGTGTCGGACACATACTTAATATGTGTACACAAAAAAGCCATGTGTAACCACACATACTATTCATTTGAATCATAACTTTAATGTGTTTCTGGGTGGATTCTGTTTATGTGTGGTCTAATGAAAATCAATCGTCAATAAAAATGTGAGAGAATTGTTCATATATCGTTTATGTGTCACACACATAAATTTTTGCAATGTGATTACACAAATGAATTTTATGTGTGAGACATATAATTGTTATCAATCGCGATCCAATAAATGGTTGTGTGGTCACACATGGATATGATAGTTTGTGGCAGATGAATGTCATTTGTCGATCAATATGTATTTTTGTTTATTGATATTGTGTAAAATGTTCGGAAATTATTTACTAAGCGAAAAAATGCAGTTTATCAATATATCATTTCTCTCATCACTACAGTTATTCTCATAATCATCTATTCATGACTTTCCGTTCTGGTAGTCCTCCTTCAGGTAACTGATTAAAAATGTCGCAACCTTCTTACTAATATATTGTTTCAGCACCGGAAGAGGACGACGACAATTTTGACGATTTTTTTTGGGCTCCCTTTGTCATCGTCATCGATCTCTCGTCATCTATCAGGTTAAGAGCAGTCAGTAGTTCTTCCGGTCTTTAGATGATGGCTATAGCAGCGTTCGATATGGAGTGGTGATTCCGGAAGCTTAGCGTTCGACTACAGCTGAAATTAGAAAAGGTGTTGAAATTAGCTACTTTAAACTCAAAATTCATCCCAAACTTACTCTTTCTCATTGATGCTGTACTTGATCCGAGACTTGATCTTCGATGTCCAAGCTGCCGTCATCGGCAAACAAATCCACTTGCTTCCCGTTCCACCTGGCCCCATCGCTCTACTTGTTTAAGTTCTGCGTAAAATTTTCCAGTCTTTATTTTGAAATCGTCGGGTGTATATATTTTTTATGTGTACAACACATATTTTTTGCAATGTGCCACAAAACATGACGTTTGTTTGAGATACACATACATGGTATATGTAGAACACATATCGTGTATATAATATTTATAAAATTTATGTGTGGGGTGTTTTATGAAAGCTATGTGTGAAATCACATAAATAAAATCTTTGCTGTTTTATCAGTATACTGCTTCAAACAGAACTATGTTTTGTCAACTGTGTGCAAAGTTATTAGCAACTGAGCAGTTCGTGACCAAAACTGTGTATGCCAAGTATGGTTGAAAGATAGGAAGAATACAAGAAATCCACCCTGAAGCGAACGGCATTGTGCGTGTGTGGCAGAGATGCCAGATTTTTTTCTATGCGATTCCGTAAACTTATTCAAATGTACGGATTTCTACGGATTTTTTTAAGTCGAAGGTGATATATTTTTTTAGTTCTAAGGTGTTATTTTACGTTAAATGATAAATCGATGAAAGAACTTTTGAAAAAAAAAACTACTAGGGACAGCCCTCTGGGGTTGTACGCAATGGTGACGTCAGACTACGTGGTCTTATATAATAAATGTTATTTGTTAACTGCAGCAGGGCTTGTGTTTTGTGTAGGAATAGGAATTTGAGCGGGGTTCTCTCTGTTTATACTCTTCAGTATGACTATGATTGCCCTGAAAAGAAGCTTTTGATATAAATTTTAGTTTGGAAATGTTCAGAAATTTAACTCTTTGGAAAATCATGGTGGCACTGAAAAGGGCCGATGGTAGTAAAGGCATGAATACCATGATGATTTAAGCATGCGAAAAATCAAAATCTCGTAGGTTTTTTTTTACACGGTTTTTTTTTACACGGACCGTATCCCCCGTGTAAAAAAAGACCTGAGTGTACTATGTTTTCAAGAAAAACTTTTTCAAAGAGTTACGTCTGTTTGTCTGTGATGATACTGTTGTACCTGTAGTTTTTGGCATACTTTCACTGATTGCTTCCCGGGGATCCTTGTTAAGCCATAGCAAGATGTGCGCGTGAGGACTTCCACGGTGCTGAAATTCAATCGTGTCAACCAGCTTGATGAAGTACACACAGCACGTGACTGGATCATCATTGACCAGAGTTGCTCTTTGTAGTGCAATCAATTCCTTGATTGGATCTGTTAAGTTATTTCCATTGTGACAATCGATGTAGAAGATTCAACAAATGGGGCCACTTCATCTCATTTGCACTGAGTGTTAGAAACATCGTAGGCTTTCCCAATTGTCGCATCATGGTGAAAAAATTCTCTTTCTTTGTTGCCAATACTGTTCTGAATTCGGTATTGATTTGAGGAAGGATAGATTTCGCTCAATGCACTGCTCCATGAATAAGGCGGTCTTTAAGGTTGACACGTGTGATGTTGACGGTCCCCGGGAACTTAAAAATGCATTGCAAGCCTTCGGAAACTCTAAGGCGAAGAACTATCATTGTCATATACAACAAATGTTGTGGTTTGGCCACACGCCTGTCTTGACGACGAGTTTCACTGGATGCAATCATGAAATATGTCACCCGAACCCCCTGGCTTGAATTTCCGTAGATGGCCGAAACATATGGCAGGAAAAGCTATCTCTTCGCCGTGCTCGTCATATATTAATGACAGAGGAACCCTGTTTTGCGCGGGAGCGATCTCCAGGCATTTGTCCTCATTCCAAGCAGCAATTCTGTCTCACTATCCACGGCAATAGCTTCCAGCTCAATTTGAGGATCCACTGCAGGGGTTTCAAGACCATCTATGGCGATCTGATCAATTGTGATCCAGTAGCGGCGGTACAGTGGTGTCGTAATCTAATAAGAAAGCCATGCATTAAGCATAGTTTCCTTTATAAAGCCGGACAAGTACGACGACTTATGGATTACGTGCTTTTTTGATGAACACGTTGAAGGCCTGATCATCATCGAGCTGACGGGGAAGAGAACGTCGTCTCTTTTACATAACGCAAACGGTAGAACAACATTCGAGCAAAAAGAAAATTATCAAATAACTATCATATGTGATATCGTTATAATCCCTCAATTTGGTGTAAATTAAACCATTTCTGACTTGACCATAATAACTAGGACATCGTTGCTTGCTATTTTCAGAATTCACACAAGCACAACATTAGCAGCTCTTATTATGAGAAAAACTAAAATACATACATTCGTGACGGCCTTCGGCGACAGTGTCGTATGACAGAGCCTGTCATATGACATTTTAGTTTGGTACTGTAATTTGAAAGCTTGATATGCAAGTGTCGGAAGCAAAAGCAGTCGATTATCACAGAAAATGTGTCGACTACGGTGATCGCTTACAAGACTGGTCTCGATACGACTTTCATTCGCCTTCACACGGCACCGTCGAAAACATTTCTCTTCAAGCAAAGATTGACAGTATATTATGGGAACTTTCGGCGGAGTGAAGAGATGCCCTGTTTCACGCTATGTCAATCATACAAGGTCTGGAAGAACAGGCAGCTTGCTGGTGTTAGAAGCAAAAATGTTGTAAACATTGCTGAACAAGCGAATGACGATGTCACGGCAGCACAACATTCCATACTGCGAATGGCAGACGTGTCGTCACAGAAAACAGCTGTTTCGTGTAAAAAGATAAACATTTGCGATGAAATACGAACACCACTAAACATTTCCACATTTCACTAGTACCAATAAGCCGGTTGGGCCAGACCTTGTATAATTGACATCGTGTTTCACGCACAGTCTGACGTTTGCTTACGGGATATTTCATAGGAGGGAAGAGCTACAGAGTCGCCGTCAACGCCAAATTATTCTATCAAAAAGCGGATAAGTGAGCAAGAAAACGGTTGACAAGTTACAGGGGTATATTTTACTTTATGCTTCGTTCCCTTCAGAATCAGATTATACTCTAGATTGTAAAATTCTATTCTGAAAGGAGACGTACACTGAAGAAAAAATCCGTAGAAGCTGTACCGAATTCCGTAGATTTTGCCTACAGATCCGTATTTCCGCAAAAAATTGTAAAATCCGTAGATCTACGGAGATTTCCGTAGATCTGGCATCTCTGGTGTGTGGTAACTTTGAAAACAGCAGGAGGTGTCCCGACAAGACCAGTGGAGAAAATATGCATTTTGCCATCTTCAGTAGACATCAAAGAACATCAACCAACTGCCTAAAGGATCAATTACCCGCATGCCCTATCTCGCCCTGTCCTTGTCTTTAACCTTCCTTTTCGGAAATGCAGTTATTTATGGGTGAATGAGGTGTTGGCAAACCTTGAACCCCCCGCTCTACAACCCTGGAATTGTGATCATCTCTGCATACAGTTCACTATTATTTGTGTCGTTGGCTACAACTGCACTATATCCAGGACAGATAGGCAGGAGCTCGTTGTGTACAGCGTGGTCATCTCAACAAGATCGGCCTGCGCGAGATCTTTTATCGGGATCGTGGCCGAGAGATCGATCTGTTCATTGGAGCGGGATGGAACTTACGAACCCCAAATTCATCGCACGTTAGGTCAACCTGATCGTTGCTGGGAGATGTAGCTATTGGCTATC